ATGTCTCTTATGCGGCGGGAGTTTGAAAGCATGAGATCTGACATGGAGAAGATGGTTTTGGACAAACCAAGAAAGAATAGTGACCATTCGGATTCAGAGCAATACTACAGCAACTCCTCTAGGGCTCGTTCATCAAAAAAAGAGAGGAAGCGATAAAGAAGAAAGGAAGCCACGGTATATTGATCTCATGGGCAGTCGCAAGCTCACAATCCCTGAATTTAGAGGCACGGCTGATCCTCCTGAAGAGTACTTGGAGTGGGAGAAGAAGATTAAACTTATATTCAACTGCAGAAACTACACCACCAAACACAAGCTGAAGCTGGCCCCATCAGAATTTAAAGATTATGCTCTAAGTTGGTGTTATAATCTAGTTACGACAAGAAGAAGAATAGGAGAAGATCCAATTGATTCATGGAATCAATTGAAGTCCATCATGAGAAGAGGATTTGTACCAAGTCATTACCACAGATAGCTGCATTTCAAACTCAGAAGCTTAACCCAAGGAAGCCGATCTGTCGGAGAATACTACAAGGAGATGGAAACTCTCATGATGAGAGCTGATATTCGTGAAGACAGGGAAGCAACCATGGCTAGGTTCATGGGAGGGTTAAACAGGGATATTATAGATCGTTTAGAGGTGCATCATTATGTGGAGCTGGAGCAACTACTGCACAAGGCTATCATATTCGAGAAACAGCTCAAGAGAAGAAACTACAAGACTAACTACGGTTCCAAGAAGCTGAGTTATCAAAAGGATGAGAAAACGAGTTTTCAGAAAGAATTTCAGCTATTTTCTAAGTCTAAGAATGAAGAACAGATGTCATAGGAAAGGAAGTAGTGACTACCTCCAAGAATAGGGATATTCAATGTTACAAGTGCAAGGGATATGGTCACTATGCGAGTAGCTGATGCAAGAAGAAGATCATGATCATTAAAGAAAACAGAGAAGTAGAAACTGAAGAAGAACTGTCTGATGACGAGGAACAAATAGAGATGCCTGCTCGAGGAGAACTTCTAATAACTAGAAGAACTCTGAATGTTCAAACCAAGACCGATGGAGATGAGCAAAGGGAAAATTTGTTATACAGCCGATGTATTGTGCAAGGAAATGTATGCAGCTTAGTTATAGATGGTGGAAGCTGTGCTAACGTGGCTAGTGAGTCTATGGTGGATAAAATAGGCTTAAAATTGATGAAAAGGCGAAACCTTACAGGTTACAGTGGCTGAATGAGGCAGGAGAAATGGAGGTCAAAAATCAAGTTATGGTGCCATTGTCGATAGGCAAATACAAAGATGAGATTCTGTGTGATGTCTTGCCTATGGATGTGGGGCATATCTCAATCAGATAGAAGGATTATGCATGATGGTTTCACTAACCTTTATTCATTTGATTATCACGGCAAGAAGACTATCTTGGTCCCATTAACTCCTCAAGAAGTTCAGCAAAACCAGATCGCTATGAAGAAGAGCAAAGTGCAAACTACTTCTACAATCTCTCCATCTACGAGTCTCATGATCACTAAACCAAAGGGAAGTCAACTCCCAAACTTCTTACTAGTTTTTAATGAGTGCTTTAACTTAAACACACCTACGCAGGATATTCCTAGCAAGATTAAACTACTTTTGCAGGAATTCAAAGATGTGTTTTCAGAGGAGAACCCACAAGGCTTGCCACCAATACGCAGAATTGAGCATCAGATTGACTTTATACCCGGAGCTTCTCTTCCATATAAACCAGCCCATAGGACCAACCCTTTGGAGACCAAAGAGCTACAAAAACAAGTCATTGAGCTAATGGACAAGGGACACATTCGTGAGAGCATGATTCCAAGCGCTGTACCGGTTTTACTTGTTCTAAAGAAAGATGGCAACTGGAGGATGTGTGTAGATTGCCGAGCCATCAATAATATCACAGTGAAGTATCGACACCCTATACCTAGATTAGATAACATGCTTGATGAGTTACATGGTTCTAGCATCTTTTCTAAGGTAGATCTTAAGAGTGGATATCACCAGATTAGAATGAAAGTGGGTGATGAATGGAAAACTGCTTTGAAGACTAAGCAGGGTTTATACGAATGGTTAGTTATGCCATTTGGATTAACCAATGCCCCTAGCACGTTTATGAGACTAATTAATCATGTTCTTAGAGCTTATATAGGTTATTTTGTTGTGGTATATTTTGATGACATTTTAATTTACAGCAAAAACTTAGACGAACATGTGGAGCATCTTAGAAAGGTCTTAGAAGTACTTAGAAAGGAAACCTTACATGCGAACTTAAAGAAATACACTTTTGGAACAGACAACCTTGTCTTTTTCGGGTTTGTTGTGAGTGCAGATGGAATCAAGGTTGATGAGGAAAATATTAAAGCGATCAAAGATTGGCCAAGTCCAAAATCAGTTGGAGAAGTGAGGACTTTCCATGGACTAGCAGGCTTCTATAGAAGATTTGTCAAAGATTATAGTACTTTGGCAGCCCCACTCACCGAAGTTATCAAGAAAAATGTGGGACTTAAATGGGATCAAGCTCACGAAGAAGCTTTTCAAACCTTGAAAGACAAGCTCACTCACTCCCCGGTGCTATCTCTCCCTGATTTTAATAAAACTTTTGAAATAGAATGTGATGCCACAGGAAATAGTATTGGTGCTGTTCTTATGCAGGAGAAATGGCCAATAGCATTCTTTAGCGAAAAACTTGGAGGAGCCACCCTAAATTACCCTACATATGATAAAGAGCTTTATGCGCTTGTGAGAGCCGTCCAAACATGGCAACACTATCTCTGGCCCAAAGAATTCGTCATTCAATCCGACCATGAGTCTCTTAAGTACCTTAAGGGCCAACAGAGACTGAACAAAAGACATGCTAAATGGATCGAGTTCATTGAAACTTTTCAATATGTCATCAAGTACAAGAAAGGTAAAGATAATGTAGTTGCTGATGCGCTATCTCGCAGGTATGTTCTCTTGAACTCTTTAGAGACTAAACTGCCCGGTTTTGAACATATCAATAGTCTATACCCTACTGATTCTGATTTTAATGATATATATGCTTCGTGTGAAAATTTTGGTAGTGGGAAATACTATCGAGTTGATGATTTTTTATTCTTTGAGAATCGTTTGTGTGTACCTAACTCTTCTATTAGAGATCTCTTTGTCAAAGAAGCTCACACAGGTGGACTAATGGATCACTTTGAGGTTGCCAAAACTCTTAGCATAGTCCAAGAACACTTTTATTGGCCACATATGAAGAAAGACATCGAGAGGGCATGTGAACGATGTGTTACTTGCAAACAAGCCAAAGCTAAGAAACAACCATACAGTTTGTATACCCCTTTGTCTATTCCTTTGCATCCATGGCATGATATTTCTATGGGCTTTGTAGTTGGATTGCCTAGGACCAAGACAGGAAAGGATTCTATCTTTGTGGTTGTAGATAAGTTTTCTAAAATGGCTCATTTCATCCCATGTAATAAAATCGATTATACCATGAATGTTGCTAAGTTGTTCTTTAGAGATATTGTGAGATTGCAAGGCATGCCTAGAACTATAGTTTCTGACAGAGATACTAAGTTCCTTAGTTTCTTTTGGAAAACTCTCTTGTCTAAGCTAGGAACTAAGTTGCTTTTCTCTACTACATGTCACCCGCAATCAGATGGTCAAACAGAAGTAGTTAATAGAACTTTATCTACATTGTTGCGTGCATTGATTAGAAAGAACCTTAAAACTTGGGAAGAATGTTTGCCACATGTTGAGTTCGCTTATAATCATGCTAAGCATTCTGCATCTAAGTTTCCTCCATTTGAGATTGTTTACGGGTTAAATCCCATCTCACCTTTGAATCTAATGCCTTTACCTTTGAGCGAAAGAGTTAGTTTGGATGAGAAGAAAAAGTCAGAGCTAGTGAAAAAGATCCATGAGAAGGCACGTATCAACATTGAAATTAAAACAAGACTAAGTACTATGCCAAACATGCTAACAAAGGGGCGAAAGGAAATGACCTTTGAAGAAGGAGACATGGTGTGGATTTACTTGAGAAAAGATAGATTTCCTAATGAGAGAAAATCTAAAATCATGCCCCGAATTGACGGACCATTCAACATCATCAAGAAGATCAATGACAATGCCTACCAACTGGATCTTCAAGGTAAGTATTCTGTGAGTTCAAACTTCAATGTTTCTGATTTAGTTCCTTTTCTTGCAGAAGATACAGATTTGAGGTCAAATCCTTTTCAAGTGGGAGAGGATGATATGATCATGGCCGGCATTGGAACTGAGGAATATAACGGAGGAGAAGGAGAGCTTGAACCAGAGTCTAACGAAGATAAGGAGCAGCTGGAACCGGAGGAAGCAAGTGAAGATGAAGACAAGGATTTGCATTTTCTTCTTGGTCCAATGAAAAGATCAAAGGAAATAAAGTTCAAGTAAGCATTTCACAAGTTACTACATATTATTCAGGGCAATCTTGAGTGTGCTAATCCAACTACACAGGTTGTGATACAAGCCACTTAAGAGTTCATCAAGAGAGGTGTTATGACTTGTGCTCTTTTTCCCTTAGTTTGGTTTTGTCCCAATTGGGTTTTCCAAACAAGGTTTTTAATGAGGCTCATTCACAACAATATTACAAAAGGCCTCTTGATAAAAACTCAGCCCATCTCGTTCACAGACTCGATCAAAGAAGAGAGGAGCCTGTTTTCAAATTCAAACTCGTTTAATGTCTTAGTCGTTGAGTCTTTAAGATTATTAGTTGTCTTTGGTATTTCCTAAGTGTTTCAAGACTCTATATGCACGACTCTTTGCCTTCTTTAAAATTTATCGAACCTTTTATTCTAAAACCCTCTCTAAATCGTTTGATCATCAGCTTGATTAGTGAATTTGGATTTCATCCTTTCATTACAAGCAAAACCTTTCTGTTGATAGTCTAAGAGATCTTCCATCTCTCTTAGAAGTATCAAGGCGTTTTCACCGAGTTCCACCATATTTCACAAAACCTTATCAATTCACTTCGTTCCGCAATCTATCAAGTCGCTTAACCTTGTGATTGCAACCGTTGGAGAGTAGTCCAGGGCTTGATCCTCATCTAAGATCATATCAAAAGGTAGCAACTCCAAGGGAGTAACAAAACCAAGAAATGTCCAAGAATCAGTTTCAACGACCCCATTGAAGTGCCTCAATGTATGATCAATTTTCTTGAGATTCACATAAAATGAATACCTCCCCCAAGGAAATGTTCTACACACATCGAGATCTTCCACAATCCTAAAAAAAAAAGGGTATACCGAGGGAGCTCCGTTCCCAGTCTTAGCCTTACCACCTAACACGCTTGCTAGAAAGTACAAAACACACATCCTTAAGCCATCAGGACCACCACACATCTTTTTAAGCTTCTCTTTAACAACAGCAAGTGAAGGGACAGTTCCTTTCTTAAAATAATTCTCCTTAAAATCACTACTGTCCATCTTCTCATAATTCTCTGAATAATCATGGCAGTCTAATCCAGATATGAGTCCATATTCCTTAAGCAATACGGAATTGGAACTCCATTGACAACAAAACAACACTATATCCTCTTGTCTGTCTTTGCTGTGCGTAGAAGGAGCATCCACATCTCCTGAGTCTTATGGGTTGTATCCATATACATTGCCTTGTGCATATGCCAGAAGTGCTTGAATTGAGGATGCTCGCTAAACCATCTTAGCTCCTCGGGTCTTAGTCCCAGACACGCCGACTCCAGATTCTCCACTGCTTTGTGGATCCAACACCGAGTTCCTAACTTTATTTCCTTATTGTACTGATTTGGACTAAAATACATACTCAGCGGTTGCATTGTCTGGTTTTCCTCATCATTACACATTTGCTCCTCATCATCATTACAAAAGCGTAATGGCTCCCACAGTGTTAACTGAAGCGACTCACTAGAATACTCACTATCTCCTCCGAATGATGCCATTACAATATTTCTACGAAGTTAAGACACAACTAATTGTCACCCGACACATCAAACAAAGTGAATCAAACTCAAATTTTGCAGGAAATAATACTAATTTCAGTTCCTCGTTCCTAAACCCAGGTATCAGACACAAGAGAATCATTTGTAAACCAAGAAATAAGATAAACAACAGTAACAGATGAATACAAAGAAGAACGAAGAAAGAAGAACGAACCTGATGCGAATTTGAAGATTGTGACCAGTATAGAAAATCGAAGACTCCTTGTTCGTAGTTGTACCTAATGGAACGAAATACCCAGAAATGACAGAGATTCAAATTTAGGGTTATTCAAATTTTGACCCAAAATCGGATCTGATATAGCTAACTGGGTATGGATATTGGACCCCATCACTGGTTGGGTAAGTAAATATTATGAAGTTCAAAGGTGACTGAGTATTTTTTCGCTTTTCCGATTTAAAAATAAATAAAACTAAATATTTTTTTATAACGCTGGTAAATGAGACTATTTTTTTTTTGCTTGGTCAACTCGCATTTGAGAGTTTGTTTCCTAAAAATAAGAAAAGTCAACAAAAGTCAACTGAAAAAGTCAAACAAAAGTCGATAACAAAAATGTAACAATCAATCAATAAAAAGCAAGTCTTTGGGAAAGAAAATCGATGGGGATGTTTAATGCTAACCTATGATGTCTACAAACTCACAAAAGTGGTAATCCTTAAGTCTAGAACACTAATTTTGACTAATACTCTCTCAGTATACTAATCACTTTGTTAATTGCTAAATTCAAAAACTAATTCTCATTAGTGAAATTAGCAATCACAAGCATTATAAACAAGTTCCATTAACTAACTAATCATATTAGAGATCTATTCTTATAGGCTAATCATGAAAAATTTTTGCTTAGTTCTTTGGAGAATTTCATCAAACACCTTTGGTGCATGAAATTCCCTAAGACATTTGATTAACCATCATAGCATAATCAAGCATTAAGAACACTAAACAAGAAATGAAACTATGTCTTAAGACCTAGACATCAAAGATTTAACATCAAAATCCCCTAATCTACCTCTCCCAAAAACTATAAAAAACTTTACTCACTAATCATGCTTAACACACTTAATCTTTTGCAAGAAGTGATATTAAACATAATTAATAAGATATAAAAGATGAAAAGAATGATAAGAAACAGCCTTGATTAATTTAAAACGAGGTATCTCTTCATAATCTTTCACAAAAAAAGGCAAAGAAAATAAAAGGGAAAAAGATGGATCCAAAGATGTCTAGGGTTTATGACCTCAAAAACTATATATACTAAGTGTTCTGGACCGGGCAAGCCCAGGAAAAACTGGGTACTGACAGCTTGTCAATAATATTTCCAGTGAATTTTTGTTGGGGGCAGAACAGTTCATGAAGCATGCTAATAGCTTGTGAAAAACGCAAAGCAGTGGGAGTAGGTTTTATTGTCCTTATCTTAAATGTCGGTATTCAAAACTTTTGCAAGGAAGTATGATTTCAAGACATTTGCATAGTAGAGGATTTATTCCAGGATATTATGTATGGTATGAAAATGGTGAAGATTATAATGTGATGGGAGGCGGATCGAGTAGTCAGTATGGTACTGTAGATACTAGTAGTCATCAACCAACAATATATGATGGGGAAAATGTATATGTTGGGATGGTGAATGATGCTTTTCATGGTGTTGTGCCATTTAATCATCATGAGTTTCATGAGCATGAAAAAGGAATCAATCATGTTCATGAAGAACTTAGCCAAGAGGCAAAACGGTTTTACGATATGTTAGATGCAGCAAATACTTCACTATATGATGGATGTTGTGAAAGATCATTCCAAGTTATCTTTGGCTGCTCGGTTCATGAACATTAAGACAGACCATAATGTGGCTGAAAGCTGCATGGATTCATGGTCTGAATTGTTTACAGAGTATTTACTTGAGGGTAATCAAGCACCTAATTCGTACTACGAGACAGAAACTTTGATGCAAAAACTAGGATTTCCGTACCATACATTTGATGTATGTATAGATAATTGTATGATGCTCTGGAAAGAATATGAGTAATTGGAGTATTGCAAGTTCTGTGGAAAACCAAGATATAAGGATAGTAAGGGGTGAACACAAAATTCCGTTCAGTCGTATGTGGTATTTATCTACCGATAGATTGAAGAGAATGTACCAATCAGATAAGTCAGCATCATCAATGAGATGGAATTCTGAGCATGATTCTGAAGATGGAGTAATGTGTCATCCATCTGATGCAGCAAAATGGAAGAACTTCCAAAATTTTCATCCTCAATTTGCAGAAGAAACGCGAAACGTTTATCTTGGATTATGTACTGATGGCTTTAATCCTTTTGGTTTGTCAAAAAATCACTCGTTTTGGCCTGTGATCATGCCTCTATACAACTTACCACTACATATGTGCATGAATGCCAAGTATTTGTTTCTTACGATTATAAATTCGAGACCAAATCATCCACGAGCCAGTCTTGATGTTTTCCTCCAATCGTTGATTGATGAGTTAAAGGAGTTGTGGTATAATGGAGCTGAGGCATATGATGTGTCATTAGGTCAAAATTTTAACATGAAAGCTGTTCTTTTGTGGACTATAAGTGATTTTCCAGCGTATGGTATGCTGTCGGGATGGACGACACATGGAAGATTATCGTGTTCTATTTGTATGGATGAAACGAATATGTTTTATCTTCCTGCTAGTAGGAAGATATGTTGGTTTGACTGTCATAGAAGATATATTTCTCCAATTCATCCATTAATGAAGAATAAAGTAAATTTTTTGAAGGGAAAACATGCATTGAACGACTACCCACCGCAACTTTTAACTAGCGAACAAGTTTTATACGAGCGTATAAGGCATGCAGAACCACCAAAAACATCTGATTGTGGTAGAAATGGTCATGAATGTAAAGTGAATGGTTATGGAGAGTTGCACAACTGGCATAAAGAAAGCATATTTTGGGAGCTACCGTACTGGACCGATCTATCGCTATGCACAATCTTAATGTGATGCATATCGAGAAGAACTTTTTTGATAGCATCATGTATACTGTTATGAATTTAAAGACAGGTCCAAAAGATACAATGAAGTCAAGACTAGATATTGAAAAATGTTGTTCTCGAAAAGAATTGCATGTAGATGATTGAGGGAGATCTCCATTTCCTATTTGGAGATTGACTTCAAAAGCAAAAGAAAGCTTACTACACTGGGTCAAACATGAAGTTAGATTCCCTGATGGCTATGTAGCTGATTTAGCTAGTTGTGCAGACATCAATGGTGGAAAGCTTTCGGGAATGAAAAGTCACAACGGCCATGTATTTATGTAATGCTTACTTCCATTTGTCTTTGCAAAACTTCTACCGCATAATGTGCACCTTACATTAACAGGTATATATATTTATATAATTTTTAATAAAGATAATAAATATAAAATCATAAATATATTAATTATTTAATATTGTTGTAGGGATTGGAGCATTTTCCGTGACTTAAGTAGTAGATCATTGGATAAAACCCGTCTCCAAGTTCTGAAGGATAATACTGTCATAATTTTGTGTAATCTGGAAAAAATCTTCCCTCCTTCTTTCTTTGATGTTATGGAGCACTTACCAAAACACTTACCTTATGAAGCGGAACTTGATGGTCATGTGCAATATAGGTGGATGTATCCCTTTGAAAGGTTTTTTAAACGTCTAAAAGGCAAGGCGAAGAAAAAAAGATATCCAGCAGGATCAATAATTCAGTCATACATAAATGATGAAATATCTTATTTCTCAGAACACTACTTTGCGAGGCACATTTCTACAGCTAGCAGAAGAAGGTAGTTAAAACTTAACAAATAAGTTCAAGTACAAACATTAATTTTTGCCTCATATCATATGAACATCAATTATATTGTTTCAGGTCAAATCGATACAATGAAGGTGAAGTACCTATATATCCTATATCATATCAGTACAAGATATATTCACTCAAGTAGGTTTTCCAAGTGGCCAATGTAGTGAGTTTTGGTTAAAAGAGAAAGAATACAAATGCGCACATGCATATGTCTTGCGCAAATGTGAATATTTTTAGCCGTTGGAAATGTCATTTTGGATAATTTTGTTTTATAATCAATTTATTTAGATATATATTTATAATTTTGTGAAAAATTAGATTGTTGGAAATGCAAATCCGATATGAATATCCGGGGCTCTCTGATGACGAGGTTACATAAAAAAAAGATGCTGATTTTCCAACATGGGTTCGTCAATATGTATGTATTTACTACCCACCTATTTATTGCTCAAGGTTATATATTTTTGAATGTATTTGTTAATTTATATGTACTATATATATAGGTGAATGCAATGAGAAGTGAAGAAAATTTTCTTTCTTGGGTTTATGATATAGTGGAAGGTCCTGAAAATAAAGTTAAATCGAGGCCAATGTATTTTACAAGAGGGTATTTGTTTCATACACGGGATCACAGACTCA